AGACGTCCACCAAAATATTTCGGAAAAATATTAAGATTTACATGAGCTGGACCGATTTGAAAATAACTCCAAAAATTCAGTTTTTTTATGAATAAAAATGGTTTCATAAAGATTTTTTTTTTTTTTGAAAAAAATCCCCCGAAATATTTTGATAGACGGCTTAAATTATAATAAATTTTGTAATCCCGGCGGAAAAACCACAACTTTTTTTTTGGTGATGCAGTCTAATGTATCTACATATGTATTAAAAAGTTGATGCCGCAGCAGCGAGGGAGGGGTGGGGTGGGGTGCACAGCTTCAACTACATTTTAAGTTCCCTTGCGTGGCTGCTTATCGCTCCCCTCCATTTACTTGTTGTTCTCCTCCATTTCGTATGCAGTTCAATCCGGTTTAATGGCAATCATGTTGTGCGAGTTGTGTTTTTGTGCGAGCTTGATTTCTGAGTAGCAATTATTGCAGCACGGGAAAAATGATGTTATATTATTATTCATGTACAAACAGACGCACTTAACGATCGAAACATTTTCTAAATACTTTTTTTTTGTGTTTTTTTTTTTTTTTTGTGGAGGCGCGTGTTTCGCTATCTTATTATTTGCTTTTCTTCTCTTTCTTGCTTGCGAGTCTTTTACCTCCTCGTCCAGAGACAGCCTTGAAAACGATTTAGTTGGCAGTTATTTTTAGAGCGCCCACTTTACACAAAAAAAAAAAGAAGCAAATGTTATTTGCACAGCTTCCATTGCTGGTTGTTTTACTATTGCGAATTTCGTTATTTTTTAGCGCATTTTTTATGAAGTTGCAGCTATTGAAAATTGTATTGTTAACCATTACTTTGTTGCAGTTGATTGTTTATTTAGTTTTTGTTTTTGTTTACTGGTTATGTGTTTAAATGCGTGTGTGCTGATTTTTAAAGTTAAGCTATACGGCTTTCGAGGTTTTTAGGGCTATGACTGGGGGTTTAAAGTACATTCTGGTCGAAGTTTTTTATTGTTACTATTTATATAATTTTAATTATCTAAACTGGGATTTTAGAAATCGTTACGCTAAATTTCTGTCCGTAAAGTTTCTGAATGAATTAAATATGCAACGCGAAAACGGAAGGTTTCAATATAAAATCTCTAGCAGTGGGTATGGATATGTTAAGTTTCCTGGAGGAGTTATATATTTTAAGGCACAAGCTTTATTGATTTAGAGATTTTTAGCTAAATATACAAGTTTTGGTCGGATTTACATATTATTATTATTTATGAAGTTACACTCTTTACGCAGAAACTGATTTTATTTTATCTTACAGAAAACTGATGTTCTAAATTTGAAACTTTTTTATTAGATTTTTTAGTCTAATAGAAAACGGATTTTTTTTTTAATTTAATAGAAAACCGGGGTTTTTTTTAACTTAATAGAAAACTGAAATTTACTAGAAAACATATTTTTTTTAAATTTGATAGAAATCTGATATTTTTTTTAATTTAATAGAAAACTAATTTTTTTTTTATGTAACAGAAAGCTGAGAGAATAGCAAAAATAATTGTTCACCTAAATTGCTGGTGACACCGGCACTTAGAGTCGTAGACTCATGAGACGTGGGCAATCGCATACTCTGTGCTCTGCAGAGAGTCGTATATTATCAAGATTATATCTTAACTTGCGCAGATCTGTGAACGTAATTATGGCCACACGACGAAAATTCATAAGTAGTTACGAAACTCCTCCAGATGCCCTCCCTGCAAAAAATTGTGCGACTAATCTCTAAAGAGAGTATTCCGAGATTACACTCAATCGGGTACAATTGGGCATTAATTAGTCGCAACTAGTCTCATACGGGTGCTAATGGAGGTAATTAGTCTCGACTCATCCCTTATGGGTATAATTGGAGATCAATTAGTCCCCAACTCATCTCTAACGGGTACTATTAACGATTTAATGATATGTACGCACTTAGTCAATGAAATTTCATGTGCGACGTTGGCACACAGAGAGAGTATTCGCCTGACAAAACTGAGCAACCCGGTTCGAATCTCAGCTGGCGCAAATTTTTATTTTTATTTTTTAAAAGTGACTAGTCGCTTTTTATACCCTTTCGGGTATAAAGGTGAACAATTAGTCTCTTCATAGGACATGCTCGAACAAAAGCGATCAGTTCATTCCATATAAAGAGATCAAAAGTGGTATTAGTCGCATGCTCTTTTGCGATTGCTCCCGGAGTCATCCCGGATTAGTCCCATTTTTTGCAGGGCTAGCATTGCCATATTCGAGCTTGGTTCCATCTGTATACTCCAATTCTGAACTCTTGGCAATAATTGTGTTTCATAAATCATTGCTTTGTAAAATCATTGTTAATTCGATTTATTTCACTTACTTTTGCATCTGTTTAATTTTTTTCATAAGTTTTTTTTTTGGGTTATGAAGATTTGGTTTGTTTTGTTTTTTGTATATTTAATCTTACCATATCATTTTATGTTTTATGTATTGTAATTGAATATTTTTGTAGTACATTCTTTTGTCTTTTTTCCTGATTAATTTATTTTTTATACTAAGTACAATTTCGTATATGTCTTATTTTAGTTTTGTTTTTCATTTTTAAATTTTTTAAAAATCATTTTAAATTTATTTTAATTTTGAATTTTTTTCTTATTATTTATACCTTTTTTTGTGATTTCTGCAATTATGTACATATTTTATTTTTATTAGAAAATTAAATTTTTTTGCTTTTGCTTTTCTTTTTCTTCCCCCAACTCATTTTGGCTATTTTCTCAGTCACTAACTGCTGTTAGTGGATATCAAAGTTTTCTTTTACATGTAGTACATATCTAAATCATCACTAATTCTGCGTACAGCAAAGAAATTTCCCAGCATTGATTACATTACACTGCTGCATTATTATCATTCGCTCCGACAACGTGACCAGATTCGTTTTAAGTTTTTTTTTTGTATCTAATCATTATTGACTAAGCGATAAAAATGAAAACATGCAAAAATTACAGTAAAACATCAAGTGGACGTGACCACTCACCTATAGACAGTGCATTTTTTACATTAATATTTTTTTGATTTGATTTGCTCATTTGTTAGTCATATTCTATTTTTATGTTATTTCACGAAATTTATTTGAAAGTTATCCAGCAAGATGAAGCTTTTCCATTTGCGTTTGAAAGCGTGTTGCAATTTTCTGTGATTAGCGTCTTAGCGTTTTGATTGCTCATGTAATGCTTTTTTTGCAACAATCGCCCGCTTTTAACCCCACGTCTCCACCTTCTACTAAACGTGTCTTAACATTTGTCAAATTTCTGTTTTTAACTTTGTCCGGTTTTTTCATGTGGGCAACTTGCTGTCTTAACATATCACTTTCAAAATAGCATCAAGCCAGTCAGCTCGATCTGTACCCAGTGTAGATTGCGCCGTAAAATGAAAACTGAATTGTCAAACTACGAAATGACAGCTGCTGTTAAGGCAGCGGCGGTAAGAAATTCGGTAAGACAGATATGGTTTAACTGTGGAAATTTGCAGTCTCCATCTGACATTTCTAACTTAACATAGCTTTTTTGACAGAATCTGTTCAAGGTGGAGACGTCTGATAACCTCAAATGCTCCATTTTGCTTCGAAAAAAAATTTTCGTAGACAGCTGAGTTTTTTTATATGTTCAATGACTACGTAAGGTCTTAAGCACGTCAATATCCGGTATTTCGACAATAAGTATTAACACCGATTTTGATTTATGTTTAAGCGTAGATCGAGTATTGAAATATTTTTCGATTTATTCCATGATCCAGATATGACCGAGATATCACGTTATGAAATTTTAATATGTATGAATTTCTGTACATTCGAAAATCCGTTAAACATTTGAACTACATATTTTCTATCACATATCCTAAATGCGATATCTCGGCAAAGAAAATATATTTGGCCAAACTCAACGGCATTCGAGAGGGGAAGATTAGATTTTTAAGATACTTAGCCAACGTTTTCTGTAAAAAGTTTTTTTTTGCGATGCTACATAACCTCAAACAAGTAAAAAACCATATTTTTGCACTTCTAAATTAGGATATTTAAAAAACCTGCGGCGAAAATTTTTTTGCGAAAAACAAAAGTCAAATCAAACTATCTACTGTTTTGTATCACGATTTACTCTATCCATAATAACCGAAATTTCAAACCCAAAAACCCATACAAATGCAATTAAAGCAAGGAACTAATCAATTTTTCCATTTTTTCTTCAATTACAGTTGAATTGGGCTGAGCATTAATCGTTCACGCGTCAGCTAAAAAAAGAATAACAGCACAACAACAAGGCGAGTGAGTGCATCAGCTCGGCAACAGTAAACAGCCACAGCATTAAAAAAGTAAAGTAGTAGCAGCAATATCAGCGGCTACCAAGTACAAAATAATCGAAAGTAAAGTCAAATCAGCAAAGGGGACACTGTGTGCCAGTCACCGGTCAGCAGTCATCACCACGACCAACAACAACAACAACAGCAGCAAAACACTTGCTATTTTTATTGCTCTTAAATAATATTTCTCTGCAATTTGCAATTGCAACTGAGTGCGCACACATAACAACAACAACAACAACAATAGTAACGGAAATAACAAGCATAGCTAGCTAGCTTCAACTGGACAATCAGTTCATAAAGTAGCACTTGAACTGAATCTTCAAAAAGAAGAAAAATAAACATAAAAAATAAATTCCACAATTGTTATTTATTTGTCTGGTGAGTATTAATATTTTATATTTTTTCTTCAAATGATTGCTAACGAGATCTCTTGTACTAATTTTCATTTTTATTTTCCTTTTTTTCTCTTCTGCTATTTTTCATATTTTAACAGCGCTAAGAAGAGCAACTAGCAGTAGTCAGTTAGTGTGTTGCTATTAGAGGGACTCACACTCACACACAAATTTTTGTTGTGAATTGAATTTGTTGTTCGACAAAATTAAATTGAAAGCCAATAGTTATTTGCAAATTTTCTTCAGTGTTCTTGTGTATCAACGAATTGTGTTGAATTGAAAATTGTTCTTCGCTTCCCGACACTGTAAATTTTTTTGAACGCCAACAACGCAACAAAAACAAAACTTATACATATTGCAAGAGTATTGGCGCAAAAATAAAGGCCCTGAGATTGTCGAAAACAGCTTAATTATTGAGCGAGCGGTGCTAAGAATTAGCAAGGGATTCATAAAAAGGAGGAGGCAAAGTTAGCAAAGTTATAGTGGAAAAGTGTGCAACAAGAAAAACTACAAGCAACTAAGTACTAAACAACTAAACTAAACTAACTAGGCAAACAATAAGTATACAAAACTAAACTAAACTAAAACAAAAAAACAAAAACCAAACTATGGAACGTGAATCCAATCCGATGCAACCCATGTGCCGCTCTGGTTGCGGTTTCTATGGCAATCCAGCCACCGATGGTCTCTGCTCAGTGTGCTATAAGGTAAGTTTGTAGTGAAGTGACGGAAGTTTTTGTAGAAGTTAAACAAGAAGTAGTAAATTTATGTAAAAATGCTGCTACTGGCACTTATCTGCATACAATTTTTTTGTTATTCTCATCGTGCTTCTCTAAAAATTCCATTTATTTTTAAATATTACAGGATTCTTTGAGAAAAAAGCAACAACCTCCTGTTAGCAGCACACCTGTATCAGTTCCAAGCCCACAGCCAAGCCCCACATTTAGTCCAGCCATCACAATAACCAATACAGCACAGCCGACAGTGCAAAGTTTACAGCAGCAACACAATGAAATTAAAGAGGTGAGTAAAAGGGGATAATAGAAGTTCACTTCTGCTGTCAAAGCAATTCGAGCTGCACTTTAAGTAGCTTTGAGTCGAAATTGTTTATTAATTCGGACTGCCAGCAGATATTAATGTAAAAGTTTGTTGGAATACTTTCGTGCTCTAAACATTTTTTCTTTTATAAATGACCAGGATCATACAATTTAATGACATTTTTTGAAATGCATGGAAATGCAGCCAAAAACAGAATGCTAGTGGCTCTTTTTTAAAGAGTTGTGAAGTAATCAGATTTCTTCCCAACGTCATTGATATCAATCAAATTTTTTTAGGCGCTTCAAGAGCCTGTACAGCGTGAATAAGTTAATGTTTACGGCCATTCCTTGTTCAATTTAAATGTTAACAATTGCCTTATCTACTACACATTATTAAGTTCCTCCTTCACTAACAAACATGAAATCTGAGAAGCATATTAATTTTGGGGTAAACCACACGTTCTTAAAAGGGGACACACTTAAAAAAAAAAGGCCGATTTTTTTTTCGCATAAATCAATTCGTAGGATTTATCTCCAATTAATGCTAATATATTTCCCTTCATGATTATATTCTCCAACAAGAAAACTACCTGTTTTTGTATTAATTGGCTTAAACTTATACAATCCACCAGCAGTTATATTTTTGGTTCTGAGTTTTAGTTGTGCCTCTTTTGAAGATGGTGTGTGATATGTACATATGTATTATCAATTTGCTTTCGCTGTTAACAGATTTCACTACAAACTTTGCAACTTGGCGATGAGCTAGAGACTTGAAATTTTGAGTATAGCTCAGAACCCGGATGTTTCAGGTTTCATTGAGTTTTACAAAATATATAGGACTCGATAACACGTCTAAAACATGAGATTTGGTACATAGGGTTGTGCTTTGTCCAAGGTCGGTTGGTATTGAAAATCGTACAATAACCACGCGAAAAATCTGTATCCAATTCGTCGAAGGTAGAATGTGCAGTAAAATTCTTGACATAAAATAAAAGAGTTATGCAATTTTTGGAAAATGGGCGTGATGATGCAGTCGGACTTGAAGTTCTTTCTAAATTCTACTTGGTCAAATCTACTAGTTCTAATTTTCAGCATATACACAAGCAATTTACTAAAGGTTTTTCTGATAAGGGCGAGTAGATGTTGAAATGGAATGGAATAAAACACGCTCTGTGTGAGGTGTCAACGAAATTCTTTTTTTTATTTGAAAATACCACGAGTGCCATTATGTGAATATAGGTTAGACAGACGCCACGAAAACCACATCGCTGCTCTAATTTCAAAACTCTTAAGTAAATGGCTAAGTAGAATATTAGCCGAGAATTATTACGACAGCCCTCTTGCTAATGCAGTCTTGGAACTTGTTTGTTGCCAAAATAAAGAATATTAACTTTTAAATTCCTTCTTCTTCTTCATCTTTATTGGCGCTGTAATCCCCTAAGCGATTTTAGCCGAGTCCAAAACAGCACAGCAAAACAGCAGCAACAGTGCTAACAGACGCCAATTGGAAATGCCAAGTGAAACGAAGTGCTCCTCCGCCTGGTCTTTCCAAGGAGGCGTTCCTCTTCCTCTGTTACCAGCATTGCGGCCCGCGTTGAATGCTTTCAGAGCAGGAACGTTTCTGTCCATCCGTACGACATGGCCAAGCCATCGGAGCCGCTGAATTTGAATTCGCTGCACTATGTCTACATCGTTGTAAGGCTCATACAGCTCATCGTTAAATCGTCTGCGGTATCCGCCATCGCCAACGCGTAAAGTTCCGTAAATCTTTCGCAGAACCTTTCTCTCGAAAACTTCAAGAGCCGGTTCATCAGATGTTTTCATTGTCCATGCCTCCGCGCCATACACCAGCACAGGCATGATGAGTGAGCACTTGAAGGCAAGAGTGATTCTCCGTTGAATTTCACGAAACTTTTAACTGTCAACAGTGAGGTGGGTGCCAAGACGCGTATTCTCTGACAGTTTGTGTGATGTCCGGAGATACTTCGTTTTGTCCTCGTTCACCACCAGACCCATCTGCTTTGCTTCTCCGTCCAATTGCGAGAAGACAGAACGGACGTATCCCTTGTTTTTACCGATAATATCGATGTGGTCGGCATACGCCAGCAATTGTACGCTCTTGTAAAGTATTGTGCCTGAGCGCTTTAGTTCTGCGGCTCTTATTATCTTCTGCACCATCAGATTAAAGAAATCCCATGAAAGGAAGTCACCTTGTTTGAAACCTCGTTTGGTATCAAACGGCTCGGAGAGGTCTCTCCCAATTCTGACGGAGCTGGTGGTATTGCTCAACGTCATTTTACACAGCCGTATTAGTTTCGCGGGAATACCAAATTCAGACATCACGGCATAAAGGCAACTTCTGTTCGTGCTGTCGAAAGCGGCTTTGAAATCGACAAATAGATGGTGTGTGTTGATCCTATTCTCGCGGGTCTTTTCCAGGATTTGGCGAATTGTGAATACCTGGTCTATGGTGGATTTGCATTGCGCCCAATCGCAGCATCACCCTATGGCGGCGTCCTTTTTCTCTGCAGCTACTTGACATTCCTAATCGTACCAGTGGTTCTTTCGGGCTGTCTGAAATCCAACTACTTGTTCGGCCGCGGTACTTAATGATCGGGAAATGTGGTTCCACTACTCGCCTATGTCGGATTGTTGAAGAGTGCTCCCAGAGAGCAGGTGTGTAAGTCGGGTGGCGAATAAATTGGCCGTCTGTTGTGATTGCAGCTTTTCTACGATTCGCTTTCCTTTCATTTATGGGCGCACATTTTTTTCTGCACAGAGGCCGTGGCGTATCTTGACTGCAACAAGATAGTGGTCCGAGTCGACGTTTGGCCCTCGGAGTGTACGCACGTCTAAAACGCTGGAAGCATGCCTTCCGTCTATCACAACATGGTTAATTTGGTTTCTTGTTTTTCGATCTGGAGACAGCCATGTTTCGGGTCCCGGCGAAGTCGATAAGCCTCAGTCCGTTATCGGACGATTCGACGTGGAGGCTGAATTTTCCCACAATGGCGCCAAAGATCCCTTCCTTGCCCACCTTGGCATTAAAATCGCCGAGCACGATTTTGACGTCGCAAGGCTTCACACTTACTTTTCCTTGGCCCGTTCATCGCATTTCTTGGATGGTGATATCAGCCTTTGTCTTTCCGAGGACATCAACCAGCGGGGCAGACCCATTAAGGGTCCGGGTATTCCAGGTCTATACTCTCAAATCATAGTCCTTTATACGTTTGACGTGGTCGTCATCAAAAAAAGGGGGTCTCATCCGAGGCTTGTTGTGGTCATTGGGTGGGGTTTTAACGTGGCGGGTCCCAAACCCAGCGCACGCGAAGTTTTACGTCTTCTCACTTTGGCTCGCTCCTAAACGGGTGCTTCGTTGCTACCCAGAGGATACGTGGATATAAACATCCGGACGTTGTGAGCTGCGATATGAACCGTACGCACAAGAATCAGTTCTGGCCACTCCCAGGTGAATGGCAGTCAACAGTGCTCCACTTCTGCGCACGGAACCATTTTAAATTTCTACCTGCTTGAAAATTTATATTTGCAGAAAGTCAGTTTTTATCTTTCAGTCTTCGAATGAATTTCTTTATTATAAAAATTTAACATTTAAAAGTAAATACTAAAAAAGAACATTTGTCGCCTATCTAAAAATACTTCCGAGGTATTGTGGCAGTGCGGGACAGTACAATGCTTCTTTGAAAACCTAAAATTTACGTTTAGCTATATTCGCTCAATTTGGATATCAACAACTTCAAAAATTTCGGCACCGCTACTTCTTCTACCGCTACCGTTCTTGTGCAACAATTGCCAACAACAAGAAACTCAATAAATTTCAAAATACCATTTAAATTTAAAAAAAATAAAATAATAATGTCAGCTGCTAAAATGAAGACGACACCCAGCGCCACAACAGCCACCAGTGATGCCAATGAGCGTATACGCAAGCATCAACAACAACAACAGCATCAAAATGATAACATTGCTAATAACTTTGCCTCGGCGGCAACTGCAACTCGCACCACTTCTGACACATCTATTAAGGTGGTGACACAATTGAAAAATCCGCCTGCCGCAATGCCATCTACCTCGGCAGCAGCGACTGCGACCACCGTCGTTTCCCCGTCACACGGTGGCCGTCGAAATCGTGAGCACAAATTAATAAAGTTAACAAGTTGTATATTGTTTCATTTACCTTTCCTTTGTTACCTGTATTTTGCAAGACACTAGAAAGTTAAGTTCTGTCAGCGGCGATGATTTGAAACAATCGGACAAGCGTACAACTTCAGTGAAACGCAAACGCCACGTAAAATTCATTTCGCCCATAACAAAATCCAAATTGCGGCTGACCGCTTCAAATGGCAGCAAACAAATGATTAACAAAGGCAAATCACGTTTCAATGCCGCAAATTTGAACGTGACGGCTGGTAGCTTGCTGCCACCGGTGAATAAGACTAAATCTATACTGAAAGTTAAGCCAGCAGTTGTGGTCAAACGCAAGGTTGGTACAAACAATGCCACCAAGAAGCTGACACGAGTGCCACAAGGCGCTCAAGCCGAACGCGAAGCAGCTGAGTTATCCAAGCTGGCGAAGCAATTCGCTAGAAAACTGCCCCAGCCAATGGATGAAGAGGAAGCGCAATATCTGCCGTCGCCAAATACGCTAACGCCTGGACGCTCGAAGCGAAATGTGGCAAATAGTAAATTGCTGCCTGTCCGTTCAAGCTGGAGTGGCAATGATCAGCGAGCCGCTGGCAAGTATCAAACGCTGAATCGACGGCACAGTGCCAGTAAAAAACATTTGCCATCTGGTGCCGGCTTAGTCGCATCAGGCTCCGTTAATATGCCAGCGGTCAGATGCTTTAGTCCAGTGCAGGAAAAGTCATATAAGGAGAGTGTCAAAGTTTATAATAGCGCATTGGGTATGGATGCGACAAAAATGTTTGATATGCCATCTACCAGCCATAATATTACAGTGGCAATGGTCAAAGAAGAGCATGCCAAACCAACGAAGGAAAA